CGGGGCCGGGGGGCCGGGGGGCCGAGGAGGGGTGGGCAGGAGGCCCACGCCCGGGGGTGGCTTGGGCAGGGGGTTGATGCCCTGCTTCTTCAGTTCCTCCACTTCCTTCTCGTCCTCGGCGCCTGCTTCTGCATCGTCAGCCAACATCTGCAGGAGAGAACAGAGGGAGAGAGAAGACCGGGAGGAGTCAGGGAAGGCGCTTCCCACGTGGGGAGCCGAATTTTCGGAGGAAAACCCAAAGACACAAGGACCCTGGGGCCCTCACAAGCATAAAGTCAAGGAGCACAAAGCCTCTTTGGCACAAAAATCATCATCCCACGCCGCTGCCGCATCCACTCTGTGACCCTCTGGCAGGGGGGCCACTCCTGTTTGCAGCAAAACACACGCAACACAGAAAGTATAGTTTTCCCCTTTTAAGCAGTTCAATGGTATGAAGTACAGTCATGAAGTTACACAACCACCACCTGGACCTAGTTCCAGAACTTTCCCATCACCCCAAAAGAAGGCCCATACCCGTTAGCCGTCACTCCTCCCCCCGCCCTCCCCCTCCAGGCCCTGGCAACCACTCATCTGCTTGCCATCTCCAAGGTCTGCCTATTCTGGACAGTTCACGCAAGCAGAAGCATACGCCGTGTGGCCTTTTGTGACTGGCTTCTTCCACTCAGCACGCTTGCCAGGTTTACACGCGCTGTAGCGTGTTGTTGCCTATTTCCTGGCTGACTAATATGCCACTGTCCTGTTTGGATTGTAAGGGCCTCTCACTATACTTGTAATCAGACCCCGAATCCCTACCCTGAGCCACAGGGCCCGACAGCAGGGCTGGATGTCTGGAGAGGACAGGGCTGCACCCCTCGGCTTCTTTTGCTTCCACGACGCCCCGGACTCCTCGACCCTGAGGACCCAGCCCCGTGCCAGGCCCACGGACAGCTGAGCTCTCTCCCCTGCGGCGCCCGGGCTGGGACCAGCTTTCTTCCTGGGTGTCTGTCTTTCCCTCTATTCCTAACGGTGGCTCTGTGTCCCCCAAATGGTGGGATCTCTTACTAAAGGTCAACTCAGTGTGACTGTACTGATCTCCTGTGTTCACTGCTAGAATACTATCAGCACCCTTCAAAGCACTGCCCGAGCTCTGTAAGATTTTATGTGTAGCTGTGTTCCAGTTGATTCCTGGTTCACCCAATGGCTGTCAACTCTGTAAGGGCAGGACTATTTCATGCCTGGGGCCCAGCACGAAGCAGGGTACTGGGTAGATGAACTATTTGAGCAGAATGTCTCACCAATTAGGATCCCATGCAGAAAAGTTAACACAGCAGTCTTGACTGCTTTTCTTGGAAGGACTGCTTGCAACCTTGGTCTGGGGCTGGTATCTGGGAACCTGGATTTCGGGGGGAGGGGCCCCCTACTATTCCCTGACTAGTAAGAGGTGCTCACTGTGCCTAAACTGTTTATACAAACAATGCACTGTCTGCTGAAACACACCACATCTCCTTCTGGGATTCTGGAATTTTGGTCCATGCCAGGCAGAGGCACCACCGTGGGCACTGACCGAGCCTCCATCACGCATCCCCAGTCGAGGACATTCCCCAAGTGCTGTCACAACCTGAGGAGTTAAGCACGGCCCTCGTGACTGCACGGGGTGAAGACTCTTGGAAGATGGTGCCTGGTTTCTCCAGCCTTTGCCCATGGTGGCTACCCGCTTGGTCCCAGGCCATCGAACTGGGCCTGGGTCATCTTAGGGACCTCAGCACAGACACCTTGGTGCATCCTAACCTGGGGCTTGGAGATGTCCCACCCCTAGCATCTCAGCCTCGGCACTACACAAGACCACACCCCTGCTCCTGCACCCAGGGTGGCGGGAGTGCGGGTGGTGGGAGCAGGGTCTCTAGGAGGGCGTCAGGCGGTTCCTGGCTTTTCTCTCCCCTCACCGTCAGGAACAGTATCTGCACCTGGGGACAGGAGGGTCCGAGAGTGCTAAAATACTTGGACAATCGATCAACGGAAACCTTTGTCTCTTAGAGCCCTGCTACCCCAGGTGCAGTCTGAGTGTGAACCAGGAGCACAGAGGCACCTACTGAACTGGAACCACATTTAACATGTGCCTAGAGCTGTGTGGGAAACACTGCGGAACCAGCAGTGTCTTTCAGCACTGCTCTCAGTGGGGAGCCAAGCAGGCGCAGGCCCCGTGTGCTTCACTGCCCCCATGTTCTGCTCGCTTCCTGCCCAGCGAACTGGCCCCTCGGCCCCTTCTGGTTCCTCACCCGAGCATGCAGCTGCTGCCGGGACCGACACCCTTGTTCAGCATGTGCTTCTCTCACTCTTTACTTCCCGTCACTCACCCTAGGGGCCGGCCAGGGGTCATCTCCTCACCGAGCCTCGAAAGTCAACCTGTCAAGAGTGCCTCTGGGCTCCCTGCATGTTCCCACCAGCGCCCCAATCCTAGCGCATAATCAGGATCTGCCGGGGTACTGGATTCACCTCCTCACCACTGCGTCCACAATGCCCAGGACAGGGCCCGGCAGAAGCTAGGCACTGCCGCACATTTGCTGGATCAGCGAGCAAAGGTGACAAACAAATGCATCTCCCTCTGCATTCCCTGGACTCCAGAGAATGGCTCTCACTCGTTAACATCAGGACAGAGGAGGATGGGAGAGGTGAGGGGGTCGGGGCGCCTGGGGGCACAAAGAGTCAAGGCTTTGGCTAGCCTGGCTCTGCTATTTGGTGTTCTTCTCAAGGGGGGGAAGGGGTCTCCCCTGCACACTGCCTCGCCTTGGCCTCCCCCTCCCAGGCCCCGAGGACCCGCCCACCCTCAAGCCTTCAGTTACTGCCAGCTCCGAGTGGAGGCGACCAGACCCATCTATCAGCCGCTCTGCCCTGTCACGCTTCAGTCCACATGCCTTCTCCTCCTCCACCGGCCATAAGAGGGGGGTCTTGTGAATGATGGCCCCTCTACTTACTGAGCCCCAAGCCAGGATCAGGGTCCCACTCCCACACACTGTTCCCAAGCTACTACCTGGACCTCCTGAGTGCCTCACCTGCCTTCCACGCCCTCACCCTCCATCCTGGGCCCTGCTGCCTCTGGCCGGGACTCTGCCCCTGCCTCCCCAGGTAGTCTCTAGTCTCTCCCACCACTCTCTGCGCACCAACAGAGCAAACATCAATCACAAACAAGGCCACGCCTCTGCACCGCTAGATCCTTCCATCAACAGCAACTCGATGCCCTCAAGTAGAAGGCAAAACCTAACAAGGTTATACCTCATTAAACAGGAACAACCTTGACCACAACTTCCTCCCCTGCTGTGGAGGGGGCGGCAGCTCTGGCCACTGAAAGGGCCACACTCGCTTCGCCTCCGAAGCTCACACCCAGAAGGCCCCGCTCCATCCCGCCTACCAGTGTGGCCTCCTCTGCTGCCCTAGGGCGGCTCTTCCTTCAGGGGGCCTCCTGACACCTGCCCCTGCCTGTCATGACCAGGCTTCTCTGTACCACCCGCCAGCCGGAAACACCCCAGCCAACGTCCCTTTCCCCTTTAGACCAACCAGCCCCGGGGAGCGAGGCTACGGCGATGTGTTCACTGCGGTTTGCCGGCACCGGACAGCGGTCAGCACACACCGGGCACTTAATGAATGCACGATTAACGGGACGGACCGGAGCTCTCACCCACGGGCTGCTCTCGGTAAGGGTGCTGCCGCCGCCCGGTGAGCGGGCCTCCCCCAAGCTCTGACCTCCGTGGGCCCTGCCCACGCCCGGCAGGAGTCTCTGCGCACAGCCTGCTGGCCAGAGCGAGGACACGCCCCCACCCCCAGGACTTCGCTTCCCTTGTCCCTCGCTCAGACCCCAGCTCAGGACCCAGACCGGCTCCCCGAGCTCACCTCCTTACCCACTTCCTCCCACCCTGGGCCACGCGTGTCGCTCTGAGAGCAGAGACTGACCCGCATTTAACGTCAAGACAGTGACACATGAAACACATTAAGACAACATTCCCACCAGAAAAGCTGAACCCAAACTGTCTGTGCAGCCCTTGCCCAGAGACTCGGAGAGGGGCACGTCTGCTCCAGACCTCCTGTTAATCCGTTCCCAGGCCTCTCCACCCGCGAGGACAAGCGCTCCCTGTTCCCTCTCATCAGATGAGACAACCAGGGCCCTCCTCTACCAGGACAGATCCTGACTGATGCCCAAAGTTTCCAAAAGTCAAGGCGACCTCTCAACAGAAAAGGACTGTCAACGCCTGCAGACACGCAAAGGCGCGTGAGCCAAGACTCATCAGGCCAAAGAAATCCATTTGTATCAGTTGGCTAAAAATCCTGTTTCTGCCCTAAACTGGAAACAATCCAGATCTTCTTCAGCTGGTAACTAGACAAACTTAGATCATCCACACAACAGAGTACTACTCAGCAGCAAACAGCTACGAACTATTCTCAACAACGTGAATTCTAAATGCATTATGGCAAGTGAAAAAAACCAGACTCCGAAGATTACATACACACACGTATGTTTAAAAGCTACATACTGTAGGGCCGCCTGGGTGGCTCAGACGGTTAAGCGTCTGCCTTCGCCTCAGGTCATGGTCCCAAGGTCCTGAGATCGAGCCCCACATCGGGCTCCTGACTCAGCGGGGAGCCTGCCGCTCCCTCTGCTTGTGCTCACTTTCTCTCTCTCTGACAAATAAATAAAAAAATAAAATCTTAAAAAAAAAAAGGCTATATACTGTATAAACCTACTCACAGAACATTCTTGAAAATGCAAACTACAGAGACAGAAAACGGGTCAGTGGTTGCGGAGGCTAGAGAATGGGGAGGCGTTGACTCAATAGGGGCACAGTTTTGGGGTTGATGGAGGAGTGAATTTCCTCTATCTAGATGTTGGGGCACCTACAAGACTCTGTGTTTGTCAAGCTCACAGAACTTTACGTTAAACGGGGATTTTACTAGATACAAACCGTACCTTGACAAACCTGACTATAAAAAAGAGAAGTATAAGGAAAGATTTAAGAGTAAAGAACCAAAATGTGTGCAACTGACTCTCAAAGTTCAAGGGCACACACATATGTAAAATAAAATGAGAGGACGTGACAAAGCAAATAGGGCAAACTGCTAACAGATGACTCTGGATGGAGAAGCAAACACGCTTCCAAACCTAGAACGGATGGCTGGAAACCAACATGTGCACAGACAGAAATGTCTCCGCAAAGTGGGAAAACAGAGCTGAAGGAAGGAAGAAGAGATAGACTTTTCGGGAGAGGGTGGCCAAGGCCCAGGGGTCAGTGGCATCACAGCCTGCACCCGGGGGCCGCCCCGAAGCCCCAGGCCCCAGCCCTGGCCGACAAGCTGCAGCATGAGCGCTGACCAGATGCCTACATCAGGGTTAACCTAGGTCCTTCTCAGAGTGTATCCTCCGTTTCCCTTTCTGACCACCGAGATTCAATTCCGGTATGGTTTTCTTCCAGGTTCAACACTCATTTTTCACCTACTGAGATTTGCTTTTAGATCGGGGAGGATACTGATGCTTTAAAAACATTTGTAACTGAAAACTGAAATGTGCCATCCTGGTTTGCTTTGGGTTTTTACAAGGGCGTCTAGAGCTGGGCTGACCAAGGTGGTGGTCACTGGCCACGTGTGGCTACTGACGCTCGAGATGCAGCCAGTCCAAAGTGATATGGGCTCTAAGTAGAAAATAAGCACCCGATTCCAAAAACATGGTAGCAAAAATAATAGTAATAATAATAATACAAAATGTCTTAATTTTTCATTACTTGCTGAAATAATACTTTGAACATGCATATACCAGATTAAATCACATATACCGTTTGAACTTAATTTCATTGGTTTCTTTCTACTTTAACGAAGCTACTAAAAAATTTAAATCACATACGTGGCTTGGCGGTGTTCCTACTTGGACAGCACCGGTTTTGAACGCCAACTCTAAACCTCCAGCAGGGGGCAGTGCTCAGCCAGCTACTGTTCAGCTCTCCATGTGAGAAAGGAAGCCACAATCTTCCCCTCTACCCCGTCAGATCACCAGACTCTAGAAATCTACTAGATAAGAAACCCTATTCCTAGGGTACTAAGTTCCCCAGAGGGCCTGGGAAGAGAATGTTTCCCACCGCACTGCAAATGAACAGCAGGTCTTTTCTCACTCTGCCTGTGCAGGGCTTCCCCCTGACCCCCAGGGTGGCCTGGGCCACAGCTGAAACAGGGCAGTCACTGACGGACTCCTGAAACTGCCCCACGTGCTACTCATAGACTCAATCCTTGCCATTCTCAAAACACCGGCCAATCCCTCAAACCTTCTGTGCACCAGAAGGCAGAAAGCCTTCATCTGGAAGGACCTGTGTTCTCTCTCACTGGTTCCCCCTGCATGTATGTTAGGAACCCGAGGACAAGAACTAGGGGCCCCTGGAGTCCTCATGACTCTTCAGGGAGAACAACAGATACCAGGATGAGTTTAGAGCTGACTGGGGAGGAAGGCCTCACATTGCACCAGAGAGATCTCTCCCTCCCGAGAACCTCCAATCTCCCTGTCATAGAATCCTTAAGCCTCGGGAGGAAACGTTTGACATTTCCATCAAAATACAACCCACCCAAATCTCATCCTCCTCCCTGTGCGTCATGGGCTCTCTAAAAGATAGCTACCTTGGGGCGCCTGGGTGGCTCAGTTGGTTAAGCGACTGCCTTCGGCTCAGGTCATGATCCTGGAGTCCCTGAATCGAGTCCTGTATCGGGCTCCCAGCTCAGCGAGGAGCCTGCTTCTCCCTCTAACCCTCCCCCTCTCATGTACTCTCTCTCATTCTTGCTCTCTAATAAATAAATAAAT